TACCAAACCATCTCCCCGTGCGCGTGTTTGTTTGTTTGTTTGTTTGGTTGGTTGGTTGTTTGGTTGTTTGGTTGTTTGCTTGTTTGCTTGTTTGCTTGTTTGCTTGTTTGCTTGTTTGCTTGTTTGCTTGTTTGCTTGCTTGCTTGTTTGTTTGTGCCTATGCGAACTTACCAAACCATCTCCCCGTGCGCGTGTTTGTTTGTTTGTTTGGTTGGTTGGTTGGTTGGTTGGGTGGTTGGTTGTTTGTTTGGTTGGTTGGTTGTTTGGTTGTTTGGTTGTTTGGTTGTTTGGTTGTTTGGTTGTTTGGTTGTTTGGTTGTTTGTTTGTTTGTGTGTTTGTTTGGTTCGTTTGCTTGGTTGGCTGTTTGGTTGGTTGGTTGGTCGGTTGTTTGGTTGTTTGTCTGTTTGTCTGTTTGTTTGTTTGTTTGTTTGTTTGTGTGCGTGTTTGTGTTTGCATTATGGGATGGCTATTGTGCGACAGTTCCTACTGTACGCTCTACGCATGCCAGAATTCCTGTGCATGCGTACAAGCAAATACAAGACGCCAGAGGCCGCAAGCCGCAAACTACAGCAAGCATTCCATGCTTCACCACATGGACTTGCAGATGCTGTGCCACACCAGGAGCGATGCACATCAGAAGCGGAAAGTAGTTGCAACAGCAATGCCGAATTCGCCCGCATCAACCCCCATGCGGCACCACGGATTCAAACAAGGTTCAACTTTGGCCCAGCTGCAAGGCAAAGACACAACGCAGCTTCCAACACGAAAGGTTGAATTTGTGGACAAACCAACGACCAGTCCAACAGCGTTCCTCTTCAACAGTTTGACAAGCAAAGCTTGTCGAGATGATGCAGACCGAAAAGTGTTTAAGATGTGTGGCCCTGCCGGAAAGATTGTCAATTCGTGCAACCCCGACACCCGGTCTCAGAGGATGACAGGCCTATTCCATAGGCTACTCTTTCCACAAGTATCAAACTGCATCACTAAAAGGCTATTCGGCAATACTGCTCTAGGAACATGATGCGACTCTAAAGAGCGAAGCAAGTAACATTAGTACGTCGCAGAGTGGAAAAGTCAAGGCTTTGGCTTTGCAGAGCTTGTTTGCACAAGAGCTCCGAAGATATCCCAAACATTCTGCACAGTCTAGCTTCAGGCATTCATGAAGCACGTTGCCCGTGACTCCCGTGTACTGTTGCTGCTGTTGCCATTACCTCGAATGCGACTACATCGACTAGGTAATTAGCCCCTACCTCTGGGTGCATCAACGCCCCAGCCTGGTGTAAGAAATCACCATTTGTTGTTCGTCCGTTCGATCTCCATGAAACTCCAGCTCAGATGCCCTGACCGCACCTTCGAGGCTTCCACTGCTGGGGCGTATCTTCCTTCCGACTTCGGTGAGCTCCGGGTGACAGATCAACATTTAGACAACTTACAGCCTTGAAGCTTGAAACGTTACAGCCTCTGTCTTGGTTTTGGGTTCCAGAATGGTACAGCTCTGGGGTTAAGTGGATGGGTACTTCGAATCGACTTTGAATGTTGAGGGTTTAGCAAGTTGAGGTCCTTGTGGCACGGGCCCCCCACCTCTTTGCATGTCGCCAACCGCTCATACAGGCCCAAGCGTCGAGCTGCAGAAGCCCTGCACACTGCAAGCTGAAGCCATCAAGTCGAAATCGGAAAACATCAGAACCGCTGCAAGTAGCAGAATTTGGGGTCAAGAAAGGGTCGCCAACGTCAGGAAAGAACGCAAAGCCTTACCAACGTAACCGACATTTACGCAACTCCCCCTGTCAGCCGGAATCCCTCCAACTCAGCTACTCAAAAAGCTTCCGGGGCCAGCTTAAATGCAGCTGTTCTCTCAGTTTCAACGTGTGCATGCGAGCATTTTCCGTTACAAGAACATCTGAGGCAGCATTTGCAAAACCCAGGGTGGGAAGCAGCCAGGATTGGCCCCCACAAAAGCCCGAGCCAAATGAGTAAACGCCAAAGCCGCCTAGGCATCAAAATCTGTTCGAGTTGCTGTCCCCACAAGCATGGCTGCAATAGTCTGATCGATCAGCTTCTTTGCTTCACAAACACTCCAAAAAATGCCGCAAACTGTTTAATCACCTGGAACGAGACATCATGTTGATAAGCTAGGGTGAAACTCCTCCTTCCGTACAGGCCCGGACCATACTCCACACCTTTGCATCTATCGCAACTTGCTTTGGTCTATTCCCAGAGTAATACACAAAGATAGGAGGTCATGCCCATCTTGTTGAACTGTTTATGCAGCAGCATAAACCCCCGAAGAAAGCTGGTATTTGTCATCTCAAACCTTCCGATATCTCGCCGGCAGGTGCTAAGCTGCGGCACGGCCATGCAAGGTACAGCAGCTGCTGAGCAGCATAGGGGCGGTGTTTACGACATTGGGATTTGCGTCCAGGGTCGTGAGAGACTGTCTCAATGCTTTGCCGATTGCTGAGGAAGCGCTGCTGGCGGAGCAATGGCACGAGGCGCAAAAGCGCGCCTCAGCTGCGAGTCCGGATCTTCGGCTCTTCGAGTCAGAGGGTCCTGGAAGCTCTGCTCGGTTGGAGGAGTTCGGATCACTGACAAAGCCGCCGCCTTTCGACTCCTCATGTTGCCCGCAGTCAATTCTTCAAAGGCCCAAAGGGTCGATGATGGTTTTTTGCGGCCGTGGAGGTTCAGACTGGCCCAGAGCCGAGTTACATCCTCATCGTATTATTCGTATTATTCACTGTAGATAGCGGGCCAACCTGTGTAGCATCGGTTTGATAAGTGGAGTTCCGACATCTTCGAATGACCGCATTCCAGACAGAAGCTGAAGCGACGAGATGATTCAAGGTCTGGCACCGGAACCTCCAACGAGAGGTGCCAGTGTCTCCCCGCGTACCCCAAGTGCCAAAAGTGCCAAACTTAGCTTCTTATTGCGAAATATCGCACATGCAGCCCTAGAGGAGTCAGTGCTGCACAGTGCTTCGTGCCCAATGCTCCGTTGTGTGCCCAACAAAGAGTAAGTTCTGTTTAGGTCGTTTTCTGCAAAACCGACAAAATCTGTGTCGTGCTCGCCCAACGCACCATCCTGCGAGCGAAAAGGTATATGTGACATGCCAAGTCAATGCAATGCACTCTTGTGCAAAGACGACCTGAAGGCCTCCAGTTGCCAGAGTGTCCAGCCATTTTTTGGGCTTTTTTGGACGTTAGGATCCAGTGGTGCTACAGCGTTGGGCATTTTTGTCGGATCCGCAGTTTGGGAGTGTGCTTCACGAGGCTTTCGAGAAGGAAGGGCTTGGAGTCTGGAATGCCTGCTTTGTGCCCACTGCACCTCTAGGGCAGCATGGCGTTTCTGAACCGTTACTTAACCGACTTAACCTTTACCCTGCTCATGGCAGTCTTGAGGTTGGCCGCTCTTCGGTTGGGATGCCTCTTGTAGATAGGGCAACCTGCATTTCAATTCGGTCGAAAACTGAACTGCTGTGGTGGTGGGTTTCAACTTGGGAAAGGGAAAGGCATTCTCTCAGCTTTGAAGTTCGTCAGCGTTAGTATTCCCTGGTTGTGCTCGTCCTTCGTACTCTGAGGCGGCCTCGCCTTCGTAGAGCCCGTTCCAAAACACGCAAAGTTCACAACGCTTATCGTATGTCTTGACATTGGGCCCAAGGGCCCACGACTCGCTCCCACGCCTTATGCCAACCCCAGGCTCTGCAATCCGTTCTCTCTGGATGGCAGCCGGGCAACGAACTGCGGGATGCCCTTCAAGCGGTGGGCAAGAAACTCGAGGCTTGCCCACACAGTTTCTCAATTAATTGTGATTCAACAGCGCTGCTGTGTTTGGCTGCTACACTTCTGCCATGTCTGCGATACAAATATGAATGTAGTGAAAAGAATACGACCCCACAGGCTCGACAGAGGTAGTGACCGAGACTTAGCAGAGGCCCTGTACTTGAAAAGCACACAGTTTCACATGTTTGGCTCAGGGAAGAACAGTGAGGGCAGTGCAATTAAATGCCCTGGTTCTGAGAGGGTTCGGCTGGGTGCAAGTGTTTCCTTCCCTCTTGATTGGTTACCAGCCGTAGCTCTTGTTTCCTTTTTTTTTCCTACTTATCCCCAGCCGCAGCAAAGCATCATTCGATCCCCCACTCATAACTGATGTTTGCAATTCCGTCTGCGCTACCGAAAACCGGTTTTGCATTTCGGCAGCTGCAGCTTCGGCACTGTGGATCTCCTTCGAATGTTCATACAACGCTTCCACCATTTTTTGATACCCCTTGGCATGCGAGCACCATCGCCATCAGCCTGTTCCTCCACGCCGGGCATTGCAGATGCTGCCTCAGTCCGGAGGAGAGGTATTCAGCTCTTTGTCGATCGCCTCATTCCTTTCAAGAATCCCAATTTCGGCCTTGGCCATCTGGTGGACGCTGTTGAGATGGATCATACTCGCTTGGGCGGTGTGTCTTTGTCTCTCCAGTTCAACTTGACGAGTGGATCCTTGATCTGCCTGCCCCATCTCGGCTTCGGAGCGTTGATCATCTTCGGTTGTCGTGTCATCAACCCATCCTCCGGCGCCGTGGAATCTTCTGCCGCCGGTACCGCCAGAACTTCACCACCACCAATCGTCATGGTCGTGTCGGCACTCAATCCCGATGTCATCCTTGTAGGGTGCGGGTGTTGTGTTCGTGTCAATCACGCTCCTGCTGTTCACAGACTGTCTCCCAGTAGATGATCTGAATTGGCGGAGTGCTTCTACTTGTGAAAATAGTACACGTCCCTATGGCCTGTGGTTTCCATTGATGGTACCAAAACCTGCAAGGACGTCAGCTGTGAACAACAACTGCGCGTGATAACCAGCTAGCCGTCTAGCTAGCCAGCTAGCTATTTCGCAGGCTAACTAACTGACTACCTGACTGCAATTCAGCAGCTAGCCGATTAAGTAGCACATGAAGTAACGGTGCGCACGCGTTGCTCACATTCCTGGGGTGGTACTCGTCGCGGAGTGAGTGGCTACGTTTCATGCTGCGGTGCTTATGTTGGTAAGTTAGGTTTCGAAGTGAAGTTCCGTTTCAATTTTGATGGTCCCCTGCAATTCGAGGGCTTAGCAATGAGGGCTGATGTAGTGAGTCAGCGACGATCCCAAAGTTCGAACTTCAGAATGGCCAGGCAGCAACCGAAACCGCCGACGAAGCGTTGAAAGACGTGCTGTTCGAATTGGCGGTGGCCGGACAGCAAGGGTCCCGACTACGACTACTACTCCTACTACTCCTACCACTACTACTACTACGACTACTACTACTACTACTACTACTACTACTACTACTACTACTACTACTACTACTATCGCTACTACTACTGCTACTATCACTACTACTACTACTACTACTACTACTACTACTACTACTACTACTACTACTATCACTACTGCTGCTGCTGCTAGTACTACTACTACTGCTACTACTAATACTGCACTACTACTACTACTACCACCACTACTATTATTACTACTACTACTACGACGACGACTACTACTGCTACTGCTACTGCTACTGCTACTGCTACTGCTACTGCTACTGCTACTGCTACTGCTACTGCTACTGCTACTGCTGCTGCTACTGGTACTGCTGCTGCTACTGCTACTGCTACTGCTACTGCTACTGCTACTGCTACTGCAACAACCACGACACTACCACTTTTTATTCTACTACTACTACTAATGCTACTACTAGTGCTACTGCCCAACATTCTGCCTGTCAGCATCGAGGCAGCGGTGCATGCCGGATCTCGACTTTTCATCTCTCAGCCTGCCGCCAAAAGCCACTGGGTGGAAAGAACAGCAGCATTCAAATCAAATCCAACGAGTTTTTGTAGTCGACGTTGCGAATGCAACGTGGATCAAGTCTTCACGGCATGGTCTTCAAGGCGAGTGGCTGACAGTTGATGGCAGACCTAGCATCTTGGGCTTGATGTTACGGATTGCAGGCTATCCAACCACCAAGGTCATCTTTAGAAGGTTCATCGAGAAGAAGACTCTTATGCAGAACTGCCTGACATTTGCAGTTGCATGACCCTGGCAGTTGCAAGTCTAAACAGAATCTGAACCGCCGTGGAAGCCTGCACGTACCTTGCCGAGGGCCTGCTGCGAATGACAACCAGCAATCCCTCTTTCAGCAGATCGAGCGATCCGTTTCACAGGTCCCGGTGAAGGAGCAGCAGGTACCGCGAACCGTTGTTTTTGCTAGCCCTGAACCATGCATTGGCTGAGATTGAAGTTTTTTTTGCTACATGAGGGGTTTGCAAAAGTGTCTAGACATCTCCTTACCCTACCCCTCCTACCCCTCCGACCCACGTCCATGTCCACGTCCACATCCACCTCTACCTCTACCTCTACGTCCACCTTCACCTCAGCCTCCACCTCCTCACCTCGACCTCTATTTCTAGAATAGCAACTGCCATTGCTACTGTCACTGCTAACTGCTACTGCTCCTGCTCCTGCTCCTGCTCCTGCTCCTGCTCCTGCTCCTGCCCCTGCTCCTGCTCCTGCTCCTGCTCCTGCTCCTGCTCCTGCTCCTGCTCCTGCTCCTGCTCCTGCTCCTGCTGCTGCTGCTGCTGCTACTGCTACTGCTACCGCTACTGCTGCTGCTGCTGCTGCTGCTGCTGCTGCTGCTGCCAGTGCTGCTGCTACTGCGACTGGCCACCGCCAGCGCTGTTATTTTTGTTTTTATTTTTGTTGTTGCTGCTGCTGCTGCTGCGGCTGCTATAGCTACAGCTACTGCCATTGCTACAATGATTGCTGCCACGAATGCTAGTACTGTTGCTCTTACCATCCATGCTCGGGTAAGTTGCTGATGGTTCAAAGCGATACCCGGACGATGCACACTAAATCTATGAAGAGGCCATTTGTGGGACGATGCCCAGTTGCAATGCGGCACGAGAAGCACATGTGAGGCGTACATGTGCTTAGCGTACCGATAAACGGTAGGTAACCTGAAAACATTCGCCGAGCCCAGAGACCGCTTCTGGGAACGATGATATCATTAAGAGACCTGATGAAAGATCATGGATGGAAGGCATACCTCCGCGAACTTGCCAAGCGCTACCATCCAGATAGGCTGCGGAAGGGTCTACGAATTTGAGCTTCAGCAAGGTATAGATGTTGTGTTCTGCCAACCAGCCGCCCCGAAAAGTTGCGGTCCTGAGTAGTGACACGGTGCTGCCTGCATTTCCAGCTGTCTGCTCGTCCGCAAAACGAGACGTGTTGCTGCCTGCAAAGTTCAGATCATGAGAAGCATAGCGTGTGACTAGTGTCGGAAAAGGCAGCTTTTGCCAGCAAGTCCTAGCAATTCACAGTCCCATAAGAGCCAGGGAAGCCTCCCTAACCAAACAGAATGTTTCTTCAGTTTATCATGACAGCCCGAACTGAACTGTGAAGGAACCCTGGGAGGGAAGTGGAAGTCCTCCCAGCCTTCTTGCATGCCAGCAGCTCAGTAATCGCTTGGGAAGAGGTCTGGAGCTCCGGATCCGAAAGGTTGCCGGTTGTAGATTCTCTTCCCTGTGGCTGTCATGAGGTCCAGAATGATGCTAGGAGCCCGCTCGGCTTACGTAGTAGGTGTTTCAGCCAAATTCGCGTGTCTGATCCCACGTTGAGGGTTCAGATTCGAGTGTTTTTTCGAAGAGTAAATAGCTTCAGATCGAACATACTGCAGTTTTGGCCTGGACTAGCTAGCAAGTCTACGAGGTTGTGATTTTCAGTGCTAGCTGAAGTTTCGATGAAATCCGTAACCCTTCCACCCTGCGCTTGCAGCCCGCGCTTCTGCTACTTTCCAGAACATGTACCTTTAAAAGCGCTTACAAACAGAGTGTACCGGCCGTAATACAATTTCAGAGTAAAACGTTCAGGGCTCGAAATTTGTGTATGAGGCTCTCAAAGGCCGAGGCTTGTCGAAAAGACAGATTTCTGGGCTGGGCATCAGCGGATTTAGCTACATAGACAGGGGACCTGGAGTAGATGATGCCATGCGAACTTCTCCTGTCTACTACGGTTTGAAGGAAGGTTTTTTTTTTTTACAATGTTTTCTGGGCACAAACATTCACAGGGGCTTTATCACTACACCTGACGACATGGTGGACTCTGGTCTCACAAGATCGAACCCAGTCCGCCTCTTCCGCCAGGTGCAGTACCTTCGCAACATGTTCCGACAATGGAATTAATTCAGAGAGGTGGGCAATCGGCGGAAAAGCAAAAATGTGCTCCCCGGTTGCCAAGCTCCGAGGATGCATAAAGGATTTTTGCCCTGCTTCGTTGCATGATGTGTGTAATGCGCCAGCATCGTTCGTGCGGATGGGATGTTCTGCGCAGTCTTCAATCATGACCAGTGCGAACTAACATGTTCCAGGAGAGAAGGTTCGAAATTTGGGCGTCACACGTGTCTTCATGTTCTACGAATGGTTCGATGTGCCTGTTTTTCATCGCGTATCGCTCACAACATATCACACAGTATCGCAGCATCTCATACCAGGTAACAGCATACTTTGGATTCATGCTGCAATATTATAATATTAATTTTCACCGTATTGTGCTCTATTGTGTTTTTTATTTAATGGTCATTGCAATTTTGCTATTGTCTGTATTGTTTTAAAGTATATCACACTGTACTATATTGGATCATAGCATATTGCAGAATCACATATGTCAATATGATTGGTTAGATGATACTTTGCTTTATTCTGTCATCTGGTTCGAAGGGTGAACGCGGCCCCTGCGTTTTAGCACCTTCTGCATCCCTCAAGTACGCGACGTGGAGCCCGACATGCATGTCGAGATGCTCCAGCGGCCAAGGGATGATGTTGCAGGGCTGTGGTTTAGGGAAAACCAGAACCAATAGAACCAAAAAACCAAAACCAAAACAAACAAAAGAACCAAAACCAATAAAAACAAAAAACCAAAAACACATTCCTGGCGAAGTCTTATTCCGACAGTTACTGGAACATGTTTTTGTTTTGTGTTTTTGTTTTTTTTTTGGTTTTGGTTCCTTTGTTTTTTTGGTATTGGTTTTTTTGGTTCTAGTGATTTTGGTTCTTTTGGTTCTTTGGTTCGACGGCTTCGTTTGGCTCGGTTTCTGGTTGTGTTCTTCTTTCTGGTGTTTACATTGGGGTTATACATCTATTGGAAAGCATGTGATCGTCTGAGCTCTTTGCGATCAAAAGGTCAACGTAAGCACGTTCGTGCCATGTCGCGACGCGATGCTTCTATCTTCTAGTTCCAGGTCTTACAGTAGAAATCCTTCATGATATTATCCTTACCAATCTCTCCTATTCCCTGGACAACTGAATCTTCATTGGGATTTGATGTGTTGAATGAAGAAAGACGAGGCGTGCTTTATTCAGTTAATTCAAACACACAAATCCCAATGGCATTCCTTTTCTTTACCTTTACACCCATCGTTCTCTTCACTCAAAAGAACTAATTAAAATGAATGAAAGTGCGTGTTCATTCTATGTTAGTTTGGTCTTTTGCTTGGTATTTTGGAAATCTAAACATTTAGAAGTTACATCAGATTCTTTTTGTTTTCTTATTAATAGTTATTGGTTATTGATCTTTGCTCTTATTATTTTTCTGTTTATCTTTACCGGATTTTATATTTATTGTTGGACCTGAATTCACTTCTCATAGAACTATTTTTCTACATTTTTCATCTTTTGTTTGGATTAATTTATAGTTCTCATATTTGGTCTGGAGATTTATTGAGAGAGTTCACTCAAAAATATGAAGTCTTATTAATACTACTTTTGTCTTCTTTCTGGTGGTTTTCTAGTTTCTGAAGCTCTATTATTTGTATCTTTCTTTTGGACATCTTTTCATTTATCATTTTCTCCAACTTTAAGGATGTGGCCTGGAGAAGCTTTCTATCTTCCAGATCCTTGTGAGCTAACTTTTGCTAATACAGTTCTCTTACCTAATGCTGCTATATCTTTAGGAAATGCTTTTATTAATTTAGAAATTTCATCACAACATATTATGTTCTTCACTTTGTGGTCATTCTATTCATCTTCTCTTTTTATAAATTAGTTTGCCTATCAAAGAATTTTATATTCTCGCATATTCAATTAATGATTCACTTTATAGTTGTCTTTTATTTTTCTTACAGAATTACATTTCTTTCCTCTAATTCTTGGTATTTTACTTCTTTTTCTTATCTTATTTTCTGTATCGTTTGTCTTTGTTTCGGGCTTTTGTTTCTTTCGTGCTTCCGTTCCACTCACCCTTCACTACATTACAAAGAACCAAAAGACCGCAACAAAGGACCCAGTTCCAACAAGAGAGATGTAGTACTAGAATATTATTACCGCATTTAGGTGTATAGGATGACTTAGTGGCCTTAATGACTGATGAAATACTAGAATTTAATTGTAATGGTCCTAAAATAAATCATAAAGGCTCCGTTCATGCTGTGCGGATCTTTCATTCTTCTGTTGTGTCTTTTAATAATTAAATGAAAGAGCCGCGCGTTTCTTCTTACTTACGCCTTTTATTTAATATTAAAGGACAACACAAGAAACCGCACATCCTGGAACTTGGAGCCCTTCATCATATTGTTGTTCCTGAGTTCGTTCTCTTTTGTTTCTTCTTTTGCTCCTTTCATGCTTCCACTACATTCCACTCTGTTCCATGATAAAGAAACGAAACAAGGCAACAAAAGACTCACTTCTTCATATAACACTCAACACATAAGAGCTGGAAGTAAGCATCTTGGACAACTAGGATCATTAATGTCAGGGGTGAACTAAATCCTAATGGTAACTCTGGGTTTCCGGTTCCTTTGTTTGTTCTATTTAATTAAATCACGCGCTTCTTTCGCTTCTCTCTTTCGCTTGTATTTCATTAAAATAGAACAAAGCAAAGCCCTTTGTCTTTCTGTTGGTTACACCTAGCTTTCTATCTGAAACATGAACCGTCTATTCCATTTGCCTTGGTATGCATAAGGTGCTAAAACGCAGGGGCCAGGTTCACCCCTGGAACCTGTCATCTCTACACGTATCTATCTTTCTATTCATCTATCTACCTCTATCTATTTATATCTACATCTGCATTTGCATCTACGTTTATGTCTAGATTTTATCCATATATATGGATAATGTTATATCCCCACGCCTGCATTTCGTCATCTCGCACCGCAAGTCACACAGGCACCCCCACCTCTGCATTTCGTGATCTTGCACCGCAAGTCACACATTGACTATTTCGTCATTCATGTCCTCCATGTGGTCAAGCCAGTTCACCATTTCACCAGTTGGTTTGGCCCTAACCCCAAAACCATGTCACCATTTCACCAATTGGTTTGGCCCTGACCCCAAAACCATTTCACCATGTCACCAATTGGTTCTGACCATATGGAGGAAAGGAATGGTGAAATCGTGAAATGGTTTTGGGGTTGGGGCCTTGTAGAGATACCCGATCCCTAAAAAGAATGTGCGCCTCGTCTGCATTTGCCCCCCCCGCCCTCAGTAAGCAAGCATAACAAGTACAATCACAGTTTACCATCTTCGAAATGTAGATCAAGAAGCCGTGTGTTTATAAACACAGCCTTTGCTCGGTACATATGCAGTCAACAGTCGTGAAGCCACTACAGCTCTCGAGACACAGTGTAGAGAGCCAAAGCGCTAACGGCATGCTGCGAAAAGCAGCCGTAGTCGGAACCTTCGAGGTTGCTATCGGAGAGTGTATAGTTAGATTGTCCAATGTCACGCACCCGCCTGCGTCTTCTTCAACTTGTATTACAACGGCAGATGGTGAAATGGTTCCGGTTCCGAAGCCAGAGACGTTAATCCATGACATGCAGAATGGCATTAGCATTTTACAGGATAGCAAGAAAGGCATCACCCAAAAGCAGTTGGCAGTGCATATCACCTACCCACAGAAAGGTGCAAACGCAGCTCGCGGAGCTAGTGGTGTGTGGAATAGTGTACTCCAATAGAAGCTCAACGCTTGGTTCTTGAAGGCCATGAAGGGATGGAAGAAAGACGAACCACTCCTTGCACTGACTGACGACCCAAATCGTGAAAATCGCAAGCGCAAACGAGCAGATGATGACCTTCATGTTTCCAAGACAAAAGGCACATCATCAGCTTCCATGTCTCCCGCGCCCACACCCGCTTCAACGTCTCCCACGCCCACACCCAGCATCGACAAGCCCGTTGCTTCAGCGTCATCGTCTTCGTCGTCTTCATCGTCTTCATCGTCTTCATCTTCGGGATCGGAGGAGCAGGGTGAGTCAGAGGCCGCCGAGTCGGACGCAGACGTTTCTACAAATTCGGATGAGAAGAACACCAAGGACATTGCCAAGGATGACGATCAGAAGCCGTCTCAGAACAATCATGCCGGTCACTTCGACGACGTGTGCCAGTTGGAGTTAGAGGTGGACGGATGGGACGGTGACTGGTTGGATGCGTGGCGATCGCCGGCTGGTTGTTCGACAAAAAGACCGGAGAGTCCGATGATAAGAAGGAGATCATAGCCAATCTTCTTCGGGAGGTTCACAAGGCCAAGACGGCCTGGGACGCCGCGTGATTTTCCGGTTTGTCTTTCACTATAGATGCGGGCGGGGCTCTGGTTGATATGCAAAAAGTGGGAGTGCTTGCATACGGAGCACCACCCTTCAATGACAAGACACACGTGATGCATCGACTCCATCATAAACTTTGAAAACAGCATTTGGCTTGACAAGACCGATCTGCTCTCACTTACTTGGACGCTCGCATGATCGGCGGCAAGCACCGGGTAGTGGTTATGGATGAGGCAGTGGTGGGTGTGCATGCCGAGGATGGCTGGACTGGTGGCTCTCGTGGTATAAACAAGGCGGGGGCCGAGCAAAATCGATCCTCCGAACGCAAGAATGTCAACAAGATGATGGAATCCGGGGCAATGAAGCGACTACCTGCTCGCACTGTTCATCACAAGAAGAAAGTTTCTTCCTCGTCGCCGTTCATCCTGAACAAAAGACCTGCCTCCTCCTTCACAGCCCATATCATGACGAAGCCGGCCATCGTGAAGTAACCTGCCATGAAGAAGCCCGCCATTACACCGGCCAACGACCCAAAAAGAACAACCCCAAGTCCAATGGTATGTGGCTATGGCTGGGAATATGTGTGGGGGCTAAGAATGCAGTCTACACCCACAGCAACAAGAAGAAAAAGGTCACATACCGACTCTTGCCCTCGAGCATAATGGCTATCAAGAACCAGCCCCGTGTTTTCCATGAGATCAAGGCGTCTGTTCAGAAGCATGTCGCAAAAGGTTCCTTCCTCGTGTTGGATGGTTGGCATGCAACGGAAAATACTGTCAACTCCCTTGGCCACAAGTCTGCTCCACCCTTGAAACACGAAAACACGTTCGCGATCCCTCGACTGGCTTTCGCAATAATGACGCGGAAAGTGAGAACAATAGACTGAAGAAGTGGTCTAGAACTCGTTATGGAAAACTCCAACTCAATGCATCCGAAATGGATGAGTACGTTGTCTCTATGTAAATGTAGGAAGCAGTATGTGCGATGTGTTCCATGGACTTGCCATGGCTAATGAGGGCGCGTGCAGCAATCGACTGCTTGCGATAGAGTGAACTCTGGACATTTGCAGCAGGCGACTGCGCTCGAACAGCTGAAGTTGGGGTAGCATACAGCTGGAAACCGGATTTGTGCAGCTGTGTCATCTTTGCCACTTGCGTGTCATCCTTGCTGAATGCCGTGTGTGTCGTCCTTGCGCAGGGGCGTTTCACATAGATGCGTAATCTCACTTTCGTCCATCTGAGGTGCCTTTTTCTTCTTGCTGTTCAGGGTTCAGGGTTGTGGGGAGGGGGGGTGGGAACTTTAAGGAGGAGCTGAGGGTTTGGAATTTACAGTCTTTGTTTGGGTTCACATGCTTTTTGTGGCAGAAAGGCAAGGAAATGTAGGAGGGTATGCTTTGGTTCAGATTCAAGGATATCAAGGGTGTATAAACTTTGCCTGGGTTTATAAACTTTCGCTGGGTGTATAAGTTCGGCCTGAGGTCACAAACTTGTTGTAGTTCAGGCTTTTAGCCAAAAAGTAGGCGTGGGGGATACTACGCAGCCCATACATATATATGTTCATAGTATACAATGTCATATTCTTTTTTATGCTGTGCTGCTGCACCATAGTATCTTGTATCAGGCTATACAATTCTGCATGATATCATGCTTTAAAGTTTCGCATTTGTTATAATATGTCATGTAGTATCGTTTAGTGTCGCACTGTATTATGTCGCTGTACCATGCTATTTCTTATCATCTTGCTATACTCTATGATTTGACATGGCTTTGACGCAAGATTTTCTATGGTATCATCATAATATTATCTGGTATCTGTTGATCTTATAACATGTGCTCTGGTAGCATATGACATCAGATGGTTGTATATTTATTTTGTCGTGCTATGTTATGTTACATTATGTTTTGTTTTGTTATGATATATTATGTTATGGTGTAATGCATCAAGTTATATTGCTATCTGCATGTATATATACATATATGTAAAAATACACTTGTTATAACAGAATACCCGCACCAAGCTCTATTTCTACTCTGCTCTATTCTGCTTGTTTGTATATCTATCTGTTTATCTATCTGCCTATCATTGTTTAAATCTGTCTAAGTAGCTGCAATTTTCTATTTATCCATCTGACTATTTACCGATTATTGTTCACCTCTTCATCTATCCATCGGTCCATCTATCCGTTGATCTCTCTACCTCTCAATTTTATGTTTCTCTATCCTTCCGTCGCTCTATCTCGTTGTCGCTTTGGATATCTTTCTTTCTCTCCCTCCCTCGCTCGATCTCGGTATCTCTCTGTGTGTGTGTGCCTGTCTGTCTCTGTTTCAATCTCTATCTCTATCTGCGTGTGTCTGTGTCTAAGCTTTTATATGCCGATGCCTTTGTCCGTATTCGTGCACCCAGCCGCAGAGCTGATGGGTAAAATGTCTTAGTTACAAAACGAGTTCTGCTCGACAGGCATTTCCAAGTTAGAGAGGGGCTTCTGTTGGACAAGGGTTTATGTTAGACGGGGTCTTCCGTTAGACAGGGTTTTGTGTTAGACATTGTTTTATGCTAGAACGCTTGTGTTAAACAGGGGTCTTTGTTAAACAAGGCTTTCACGAGTTTTTTGTTACTGCTTGGGTTTTAGTTTGGTTTGTGAATATTCACATATGGTTGAACAATGTAATGTGGCGATACAGAGAGAGAGAGAGAGAGAGTAAGTAAGTAACTGTTTTGCACGTGCATACGTGTCTGAATGTGTTTCGGAGTAGAGCTGGGAAGTTCTTGAGATGATGAAGTGCGGTCCGCTCCAAATTGATTGAGTAACCAATAGCAGCTGCTTCCCTTGGAGTCTTCGCATGTTTCAAACTGAGTCGTGTGTTTCCGCATTCTCAGTGTCAGGGAGTCTTCGGTCGGCAACAAACCGATGGGCAGATTTCAAGAATTCGCTGTCACTATAATTGCTAAGATCTCGCCGCTGCCGTGGACAGACACCAAGCACTTGTGAAATATGAGCAAGTTAGATGATCTAGTTCGCCTTTACCTACCCATTCAGGCAGAATGATGCAGGAAAGCCCATGATCAGGCCCAGACCCGCCGAGTCCTCTTGATTTTCTGGGTAAAAGTGCAGCCAAGCGCAGCATGCTGTGATGCTGTGGGGGTCTCCATGGCAGATCGCTCGCTGCGCATGGCTTCCTGGGATAGCATCCAGTGCAATCGATGCAACTTTAAGACTCTTGGCCCAACTATGAAGATGTGTGAAGCCTCGTTACATCTCCACACGTGTTCGTAAAAAAATATTTTTCCAGGTGGTCGTTGGCTCGCTTCGAAGGCCCACGGTAAAGAGACGCAACTAAAAGGGCATCATAGGACTGCCGGCAGGAAGTTGATGGATCTGCTCCTCGGTGTTTCCGGTCTGTCGGTCGGACGGTCAGGTGCCAGCCATGACATGATGGCAAGGATTCCGAGTGACAAAACTTGATTTGTTCAGGGTCCGAGCTCATTGTCAATGACCACATGAGCAGCTGCAATGCACGGTTGCCACAGGTGCAGCCTGTTCCAGCGTGTTCGGGGTTCGCTATGATGGTACTTCACGACTGAACAGAAACCTTGACTGTGTCACAACAGCTGGGTAGGACGCAACAACCGGGGATTGGGGATAAAGCCTAGCCTGCACATGGGGTGGCTTGATGGTGATGATTGCCTCAGTCTGATGCCGAGCGTTCCAACCCCCTAACACAGCAAAATTCACACCAAATGCCTTGCATGCTTGTTGCCGGTCTTGTTTGGTCTCTCGCGTGTGTGTGTGTGTGTGTGTGTGTGTGTGTGTGTGTGTGTGTGTGTGTGTGTATGAAGCCTTGTGCAGGCGTTCACTTGCCGGGGGATGCCCGAGTGCCTTGGACAGCAGCTAGGTGAATGTGGAGTCGAGCCGGCGTCAGTCAAATTGAGGGTATTCTTTGGCAGAGGTTCGAGAATAGGGGACCGAGAGACTTTCAAAAGATTGCATTGGTGCCGAGATGATACTCGAAGCGCTTGCCACGCACTGAGTCCTACGCCCCAGAGTAGCAATCCCGCCTTTGGGTCGAACAACCTGCGATGAAGGAGCGTCGAATCACTTGGTATTTTCGTTTCTCTTGACCCGGGCAGGTGGGCAGTTTTCTTGGATGCTGTGCGGGGCCCAAGAGTCTCTGTCGTCGGGGCTTGCTTGGGGAGTTGGTGACCGTGAGAGGCTTCGCGGTTGAAGGCTGTTTCTGGGCTGCCCTTGACTTATGTTGTCGGCTGTCGAGTAGAGTGCAGGGCTCCTGAGCTAGAACGCAGAAGCCTGGCACTGCTGGAGGTTTTGAGATAGATTCGTGTGTGTGCCTGTGTGTGTGTTTGTGTGGTGTGTGTGTTTGTGTGGTGTGTGTGTGTGTGTGTGTGTGTCTCTGTGTGTGTGTGTGTGTGTGTGGTGTGTGTGTGTGTGTGGTGAGTGTGTGTGGTGTGTGTGTGTGTGTGTGTGTGGTGTGTGTGTGTGTGTGTGTGTGTGTGTGTGTGTGTGTGTGGTGGGTGTGTGTGTGTGTGTGTGTGTTGTGTGTGTTGTTTGCGTGTTTGCGTGCGTGCGTGCGTTGCGTGCGTTGCGTGTGTGTGTGCTTGCGTGCGTGCGTGCGTGCGCGTGCGGCGTGCGCGCGGGCGTGCGTGGGTGTGCGCTGCGGCGTGCGTGCGCGCGCGGTGCGCGTGCGTGCGCGTGCGTTGCGTGCCCGCGTGCGCGTGCGCGTGCGCGGCTGCGCGGTGCTTTGCTTGCGTGCGCGGCGCGGTGCGCGTGCGCGTGCGCGTGCGCGTGCGCGTGCGCGTGCGCGTGCGTGCGCGTGTGCGTGCGGGGGCTTGCGTGCGTGCGTGCGTGCGTGCTTGTGTGCAGGTTTAGAGGTTTTCGGTTTTGGCACCTGCCGTACGGCGTCTAGGGCCAAATATCTGTCAGTTACTTCAAATCGTGT